GTGATTTCAATTTAAATCTGATTAACCAGACAGTTGGAAATGCTATGGATGGGCAATTGCCTATGCAACAGGTATCCATATTTGCTATATATCATGTTGAACCTATTTCCTGTGCACTTTCTTTGGTATTTTTATGTAATTGTTAATACACTAAGGCTGCAATATCCATCAGTTTTCTTTTGTTGATCAGCTACTTTACACTGGAGTTTTAGATGCCATGCCCACACAAGGCAATCTACAAGCTCAACCAACTGATGCTTTTGGTTCTAAAGGGAAAACCTTTGTGGTTAACCCAGGGGACGGGAATGTTTTGCGATGGCCTCATGAACAGGTACTGTTTATTATAAGTTATTGTATTGAAAATGCTCATAAACTAAAGCAGTGCATCGTCTTAGTATTGTTGTGAAATTGTAAATATGCCTCTTACACTATAAACTGCAACATTCAGGGTCCTCCTATTCAGCCACATGTAAGTGTAACTTCAAATATCAAGGCCTCGGGAGACAATATAGTGGCTCCACCAATTGGTGATTTCAATTTGAATGGAAGAATATCCTCTAGTGGGAATAATCAGATAGCTGAATATCATGTTACAGATATACAAGTGCCTCATAAACAGGTACCTATTGCTATAAATTAATCATATTCAAACCTTAATGCCTCATAGACTGATATAGGTGCATTGCCTTATTTTTACTGGAATCATTATGAAATTGTGATGAAAGGTGTCCTGGTTCCTTGTATATATTCTTTTCCCTCTTTTGCCTTTATATACTATCATGATTAAAAGTTTTTAAATACATGTGTATATTCTATTGGTATATTAACCAAATTCAAGATTCGTTATTTAATTTTTTAACTTTGAATTCAATTACACCTTATTCATTGATAGGGAAACAAAAGACAAAGAATATTGAGATCTGATATTTGGAATCATTATGAAAAGGAAGAAGTTGTAGATGGGGAATTATTGGCCAAGTGTAAATATTGTGACTTTGAGACAGATGGTTTGAGCAAAAAAGGGACATCACACTTGAGAAAACACTTTGAAAATCGTCATAGAAAAATTAAAAATGTACATCAATCATCAAATCTTCCATCAAAAAATTTAGAACCTCAAAGTGCTTTCAAAGAAAAATATGTGTTAGATGAAGGCAAGATTCATTTGGATATGGCAAGGGTAATTATTAAGTATAAGCTTCCATTGGGCATAATTCATGATGAACATCTCAAGAATCTTTTCAAAAGGTTGTCGTCGGAGTTTGAGTTTCAATCTGAAAAAGATCTTGAACCTCACATACTTCATGTCTACAATGAAGAGAAGGATAAACTTTGTAGATATTTTGATAAGCTTTCTTGTTGCTTGAATCTAACATTTAATTTGTGGAAGGATGATGCTAAAGGGATGGTAAATTGTTGTTTAACAGCACAATTTATTGATGATAGTTGGGAATTGAAGAAGAAGGTACTTGCTTTTGAAAGATTAGAGCATGATTTTGATGCAGCATCATTGTGTGAGATTTTTAAGAGAGTGCTTTCGAATTGGAATATTGAAAGGAAAACATACTCCTTAACAGTCCACAGTTCCTTGCCTAATGTTGAGATCGTTCATGACGAGAAAATTTGGCCTGCTGGCATTTTCTATCTCAGTTATGATAAGTGCATCAGAGACATAAATTGTATGATTGTTGATGTATCTTTAAAAAGCATTTATGAAGTGTACGAGAAGATGAATCATTGGGAAAATAAAGATTATACTTTGATGAATGTGGAATGCAGTAATAATTGGAGAATTTGTAGCTTGATTTTGGCTGTTGTTGCTATTCTTCACCCATCCTTGAAGCTTGACTTTGTGGAGTTTGTGTACAAGGGAATCTATGAGGATACCATTGCAAAGGAACACCTGGACAAAATTTCTAATTTTCTTAGAAGTCTTTATGATAAATATGCTAGTAGTTGCAGCAATCACACAAAATTTACTACTGCCATTGGGGATACTTGTTCTTCATCACCGGCTAATGCTGATGATAAAGTGTTGGACTCTTTTAGGAAGTATAAAGTTTCCAAACAAAGCCGACCAGAACTTTGTCAGTATTTGGAAGAGGATGAAGGCTCCTCAATGAAAATTAACATTTTAAATTGGTGGTGCAAAAACAGCTCAAGATTTCCAACACTAGGGATGATGGCTCGGGACTTTTTAGCCATACCTTTGTCAACCTTTGTGTCAAATTCTGCATTTACCACAGAAGTTAAGAAAATTGTTTCCAGCAATGGTGATCAAGATTTGAAGATCATAAATGCAATGATATGCTACCAAGACTGGTCAGCATTAGTAAAAGCATGTAAGTATTGCCCTTTTTGATGTGATAGTTAATATAAAAATGGTCAAAATTTTAGTAGTGTTATGTTCTTAATTACAGCAATTAATTTGCTCATTTGATTGATTTGATAAATATATCTTTTTTCTAGTTAAAATGAAATAGGATATAAATATATCTTATTTACATAATAACATATGCTATAGTAATACAATGAACCTTCTGATGATACATGTATATGCCACAATAAAAGATCAGAAATTTGAATATATATTACTATTTATGTTTCATATTAAAATGTTCATTCGAAGAGTTCATTCTTGGTTTGCAGCAGTAGGCAATGAGAAGAGAGATGAAAAGTTAACAAGGGAACCGAGAGTGTGGTCAGAAAAGGTTTTATCCATTACTTTCTAATTTACTTTAGTATACAAAGCTCTGTTCAATTTTATTGATATTTTTAAGAAGTACTTACAAATGGCATACATTGACAAATCATTATGTGATTATTTTCATGTTTGTATCAATCTATTACAGGATGTTCGGGAGTACTTGGTTTGGAATTTTACAAAAGACGATATACAGCATTTGGGAAATTGGGAGAATCATAAAAGCACAGGGTATGTATGTTGTTGTAACATCAAAATAAACTATAATATGACTTTACAAATTACAATTTGAAACCTTAGAGTTCAGCTTTTGTTTGTACAGACAATCGAAGGTGAAAGAATCAATCTTAACTCCTCTTTTCATCCCTCTAGTTGATGCTATTATCCAAGCAACACCACAAGTGTATTATATTGGGGATGAGGTAAAAGGCTATTCAAAATAACCTTGCTTTTATTTTCTCAAGTTTGTTTCAAAATTAAACATACACTTGATTCAATTAATCTGTATTAATTTAATATTTTTTTTCTCTAAAAGACCATGGATACATACTTTGGTTTACTTAAGAGAAGGTCTGAAGAAAATCCAAACATTTTCTTGAAGCACGATTACGTGGATTCTTTAACAATGGTAAATATCATTCACCTTTAAGTCTCAATTAATACAATAATTAACTTATAAAGATATCAATTTATAATATATCGAAAACACCACCTAGAAATGTGATGTGTTAATTCATACTGATTTTTTTATTAAAAAAAAAAATCAGAATTTCTTGCTCAATGGATGCGAGCCTATTGTGCCAAGTTGGATCACTCCTGAGAAACAAATCAATACATGCAAGGTATTAATTATCTTGAGTCTTCTAGCTAACTCTTTATTTGTATTGCCCTATAAGTTTATTAATAAATATAACTACATACATAAGATTTGCTAATATTGTTGTCATTGTAGTTGTTTCTACCATTTTGTTTGTCAGACCATTGGACTCTTTTCTATGTCGACATCAAGTATCACAAATTTGTATGGTTGAATTCACTTAGAGATACTACAGAAGTGCCCAGTGTTACCCTAAAACAAATTAGGAGCTGGTGTGAAAATACTTTATTGCCTGCCATGGGCCTAAACAGTGCTACGAATTGGCCTCTCAATGTTCCAACAGATATTCCTAAGCAACAAAAGTGAGTCACCTTACTAAGTAATTAATCTTTATTGGATGCCATTGGTTGGTTTTTATTCCATGGATTATTATTGTTATGATCTTATGTGGTAATTGTAGTGTTAATTTTTGTTTACTTTTAACATGGCAGTGGGATTGATTGTGGCATTTTTGTAATGAAGTATGTGGATTGCCTTACACATGCCAATTGCATTGGTTTCCCCTTTTCTCAAGAGGACATGCCTCACTTTCGGACGCGTATATTTCTTGATTTACACAATCAAAAAATACATGTTCCTGAAAGGTGTGTAAAAAGTTTATGGTGTTTTTGGATGTTTTCCTTTTTCTAATTAATGATTTTTTTTTTTCTCTTCTAATGCTTGTGATGATCTTTTCCTTTGTTTTGACACCAGCCTGCAGAGCAAAGCAGATGGGATGATTTTCTGATCATTTTTTTTCTCTTCTAATACTTTAATGGTCTTTTTCCTTTGTTCTGATACCAACTGCAAAGCAAATCTGATGGGATTATTTTCTAATTATTGATCTTTTTTTTTCTTTTCTAATGCTTGTAACGGTCTTTTCCCTTTGTTTTGATACCATCCTGCATGGCAAAGCAGATGCTGTGATTGTCCTGCCCATCAAAGTGGTGTATATACATATGGCCTTTTGTTCAAATGGTTATATATGTTGTTAAATGTCTATTTCATACATTGATGCATAGAGGAATGGTTATTAGAAGGGTTATTAATTAGTAGGCCCTGCATAAAGTTTCATTTTTCTTCACTCCTAAAACAAGCGCATTTTTTTCCTTTAACAAAAAGAAAAGTTAAAATCCATTTAAAATTTTTTTTATTCAACAACACAACGTTAGATCAATCAAACCAATTGTTTGTTCAGGAGTTTTGATTGATAAAAATCTGCACCTGCCGCTAGCACACAAGGAAAAACAATTCATTACATCAACATGCTTATCTAAATGTGTCTTTCATAAAAAGTTTAAGTAAATTAAGTACTCTTGGTAATGGTCAATTAAGTATTTATTAAAATTCCAAATTTAACTAACTAAATTATCACAAATTTGTTGTTCAAAATCACCTAAAAGTTTAAAAATGATATACGCACTTAAAAAGGTGACTACTTCAATTTGAGTGGATTAAGTAAGGCGGATCAATGGAATAAGTACTTTAAAAATTATAAAGGTTAATTACCTTTTTTGTCTCTTTATTTTGAAAACAAAGTCTTTTTGGTTTTTGCATTGAAAAATTTTTTTTTTTAGTCCTTAAAGTTTAAAATCTGGCTTCCATTTTGGTCTCTTATTAAATTTTACTTCTGTGGCATGTTATCTTAACGAGAACATTTGACATGGATATTACACTGTGTAAACACGCTTATATAGACTTAATAACATCCTTTCATATCACTTTTCCCATGCAAAAAGAAAAACCCTAACCATCTACCTTCTTTTGAAATTCTTGTTTTTTGTTCATAATCAACTCTTTACATGTGAAATTGGTCAAGATATAATTGAGAATTCATAGGAATATTTTCATTGATAAAAATAAAAATTAATTATTAATTAAAGTGATTTACCAACTATAAACTCTAACTTCTCCTCTGTCAAACAGATCATTCTCTTTACTCTTTTCGTAATTTCATATGAACTAAGTTATGAAATTGATAGCAACATGAACTTATTACTTGCAGTTTTAAACCCAAATATCAAACATGATATGGGTTTCGTAATGCACCTAGAACTGAGAAATTGAATTTGAGGAACACAGATATAGGTTCCACAAACCCAGTATGTGGGTTCCGTGAGGAACCCAACAACTGGATTCTGCGATGAACCTAGAACTTGGGTTTGCGAAACCCAACGCAAAACCCAGAACTTGGGTTCGCGGAGCCCAGATTTGGGTTCCTTGTGGAACCCAGCTAATGATGATGAAGAGGTACCTAGCAACTAATGATGAAGAGGATGATGAAGAGGATGCTGAGGATGAGGAGGAGGATAATGATGAGGAGAAAGAAGAAGTTGAAGAAATTAAAATTAATTTCATTTAAATTCATGAATTAAGAAGAAAAAATTTTAATTTGTACATGTGGCCTAAAATATTCAAATGAAATGCTTACATAGATTTATAATTTTATCTACGTAATTTTCATATCATTTATAATATCATTTATATAAAAAATATTCAAATGATTTTGTTAATTAACATGAAATATTAGTAAAAATTTAATGAAAAGACCAAAAAAAGGTCAGATTTTAAACTTTAGGGGTTAAAAAAGAATTTTTTCAGTATAAAAACCAAAAGGAGATTTTTTTCAGTAGTAGAGGAACCAAGAAGGCTATTTAACCTAACAAAAAACAACTTGTTCCATCTTTAACCCGTTCTATTAGCGTTACATTAATTCAAATTTACTTTCACATGAGGGAAATTATAATTTCTTATTTCATTGACAAAAATACCCCTTAAAATTTTCCCACGTTAAAAACAATGGTATATATACATGGAATAACACCCACGTAATTCTGTGCTTGTTTCATTCTTCTTTGGTAGTAAATATATTTTGAGAATGGCAAGAACATTTTATTTTACTAATTCAAAAAGGGTACATATATTTTACCTCAGCATAAAAAGAGAT